AGACAGGGTTTCTCTGTATAGCCCTGGCTGTCCTGGAACTCACTCTGTAGACCAGGCTAGCCTCGAACTCAGAAATCCGCCTGCCTCTGCCTCCCAAGTGCTGGGATTAAAGACGTGCGCAGCCGCCGCCGCCGCCACCGCAGCCCAGCAGAATATTTTCTTTATTTACATTTCAAATGTTATCCCCTTTCCCGGTTTCCCCTCCGGATATCCACTATCTCCTCCCCCCTCCCCCTGCTTCTATGAGGGTGTTCCACACCCACCCACTCCCGGAACCTCCCCACCCTGGCATTTTCCTACACTGGGGCATCGAGCCTTCACAGGAACAAGGGCCTCTCCTCCCATCGATGCCCAACAAGGCCATCCTCTGCTACATAAGCAGCTGGAGCCATGGGTCCCTCCATGTGTACTCCTTAGTTGGTGGTTTAGTCCCTGGGAGCTCTGGGGTGATCTGGTTGGTTGATATTGTCGTTCTTCCAATGGGATTGCAAACCCCTTCAGCTCCTTCAGTTCTTTCTCTAACTCCTCCATTGGGGACTCCATGCTCAGTCCAATGGTTGGCTGCAAGTATCCGCCTCTATATTCATTGGGTTCTAGTAGAGCCTCTCAAGGGGACAGCTATATCAGGCTCCAAGAAATGTTCAACATTCTTAGTCATCAGAGAAGTGCAAATCAAAACAATCCTGAGATTTCACCTCACACTAGTCAGAATGGCTAAGATCAGAAACACAGGTGATAGCAGAAGCTGGCAAGGATGTGGAGAAAGAGGAACACTCCTCTGTTGCTGGTGGGATTGCAAGCTGATGCAACCACTCTGGAAATCAATCTAGTGGTTCCTCAGAAAATTGGACATAGCATTACCTGAGGACCCAGCTATACCACTCCTGGGCATATACCCAGAAGATGCTCCACCATATAACAAGGACATATGCTCCACTATGTTCATAGCAGCCTTATTTATAATATCCAGAAGCTGGAAAGAGCCCAGATGTTCTTCAACAGAGGAATGGATACAAAAAATGTGGTACATTTACACAATGGAGTATTACTTAGCTGTTAAAAAACAGTGACTTCATGAAGTTCACAGGCAAATGGATGGAACTAGAAAATATCTTCCTGAATGAGGTAACCCAATCTCAAAAGAACACACATGGTATGCACTCACTGATAAGTGGGTATTAGCTCCAAAGCTCAGAATACCCAAGATACAACTCACAGACCACATGAAACTCAAGAAGAAGGAAGACCAAAGTGTGAATGCGTAAGTCCTTCTTAGAAGGGGGAACAAAATAGTCACAGGAGGAGATATGGAGACAAATTATGGAGCAAAGACTGAAGGAAAGGCCATCCAGAGACTGCCCCACCTAGGGATCCATCCCATATTCAGTCACCAAACCCAGACACTATTGCAGATGCCAGATTTCCTTTTTTTATGTTAATCTATGTTGACAGTAACTAACCTACTCTGTATTTTTGAAATAGAGTGTCACTATGTTGCCAGGTTTGCCTTGGGCTCTCAATCCTATTGTCTCTGCCTCCCTTGTCTCCTGATTAAAGGCAGGAGGAAACAGCATGCCTAGCACATGACAACCAATTAAGTTTCACAAGAATTATATTAGTTTGGAGCCCATAACTAAATTCCATGGATTTTTGTTTATTTCTTGTTCTTGTGTTGTTGTTATAGGAAAGAGGTGTGTGTGCTCTAAGTACACATGTAGAAATCAGAGAATGACTCTTGGGAGTGGTTCTCTTCATCCACCTTGAAGTTTGGGGATCAAATTTAAGTCATCAGGCTTGAATGGGGAGTATCTCACTTGGCCCAAATAAATTCCCCCACTGAAAAGTTTTATACACCGTGTTTTGATCATATTTACTTCTCTCTCTCTCTCTCTCTCTCTCTCTCTCTCTCTCTCTCTCTCTCTCTCTCTCTCTCTCTCTCTCTCCTCTTAAACAGATTTATCCTCACCTCCTCCTCTGCTCACCTAATTTTGTATCTTTTTCCTCTCATCAATATCAATTTGTGCTGCCCAAATATTCTTGGATATATAGTCTTCCCCCAGAGTATTGTCAGCTACCAGGAGTTACACGCTAAGAAAATGGTTCTCAACCTGTGGGTTGTGACTTAAAAGGGGCCACATGTCAGACATCCTGCATATCCAAGATTTATGTTATGATTCATAACAGTAGCAAAATAACAGTTAACTAAGTAGTAATGAAATAATTTTATGGTTAGTGGTCACCATGATTTGATAAACTGTATTAAATAGTTACAGTTTTAGAAAGATTGAGTTAAACAAAGTAGAGATTAGCTTTGAACGTAGAAAATTCCTTATTGAGTGATTGGGGCAAAGATAGGATTCTAATGTGTGGAGGAGAAAATGAGAGGGGGAGGAAGCAGAAGCTGAGTAAACAGACCTCTTTTCTTTGAAAAAAGGAGAAACATATTATGTAACTTGTACCATAAAATAGAGAATATCAAGAAACTAAAGACATTTTTTGAGCTAATAAAGGCAAAAGGGTCAGAGAACAAAAGGTTGATTTTTTTTTTTGTCTTTATGGGAGAAAGCCAGAGTTTATAGTAATTTGTGATGACAATTAGCACTAAAGCCACTTCCTAAGTCTTAGCATATATGTTTTGGAATCATATAACATCCATGCCTGTGAGTAGGAAGGGCTATGAGCATCACCTTGTCCAGCACCACTTTGTAGAAAGATAAGGAATCCCAGATAAATGCCTGTTCTAAATCAGACCATAGATTATAATAATTCCAGACTAAAAGGAAGTTCTTCTTGCCCCTTTGGTTGGTGCTGCTGTTATGGTATTATATACAGTATGATTTGCTTATGAATTGAATTTTATACGGTCATTATACTTTATAGTAGAGTTCATTTGCACATCATGTTAGGCTTTGCTACACAACAAATTGCCTTAAAATTCTGTGGCTTAAAATAGCCACCATGTGCTATTTGGTGCAGCTTCGTGAGTTGTCTGGATTTAGCTAGGATCACTTATGTGGCAAAGTCAGTGACAGCTTAGCTGGAAAGGGAGAAGCAGGATGGCTCCACCCTTATGTCTGGGGGCTTGGTGTGTTTGTTGGCTGGAGCTCTAACTACTCAAGGGTCTAGATAATATTTCTTGCATAGTAATGAGAACATTCTAAGAGGATGGAAGATGGAAATATAGATTTCTAAACCTGCATAGCATGTTTACCACTAAATTATTTTTTAAAAGTTTTAAAAAGTTAGGCTGAAGGGAGTAGTTTCATCTCTTAATGAAAAGAGTTGCAGGTATTTGTAGCCACGGAATTTCCACTTTCATAGAAAATTTTAAGTTATAATTTTTATTCAACTTCCTAGCAACTTTCTACTTAATATCAAGCAAAAAAGCTGTTGACTGAAGGAATCTTAGTTCAGCATATGAGAAACAAAATTTTTGATAATGAAAATAAATATTATACTTAAAGAAGATGCTATATGTTATAACATTTGTATTCTCTAGGCTCTAAAACAAAAATACTATATTCAGTAAATCACTGTACAAAATGTTTATGTAGCCATTAATTTTCTCAGCCTATTATTTTTATTATCATAATTAGCATCATCATCATTATCTTTGTGGATCATTTTTTCATGTTTGTAAATCTTTTTTTAATGTTTTGACGGTTATTAAAAAAAAATTAAGTTTGAGGCTAGCCTGGTCTACATAGCCAGCCAGGGAGATATATAGTGAAGCCCCATTTCTCCCTACCCAAATATATATATATAATAATAAATATAATCTTCCATTTATGCCCTGATAAGTTGGGAAGGGTGATAAAGTCTGTTCCTGGTGAATTTATTTTTCTTTCTTGGAGTTAAGTAACGATATTGAGACAAAAATAATTATTTTGGTTCTGGAGAAGTGATTTAGGGGTTAAGAGCAAGTACTGGTCTTGCAGAATATCCAAGTTTGATTTCTAGCACCTATAGTAGGCAGCTCACAACTACCTGTAACTCTAGCTCCAGGGGCACCTGCACTCATAGATAGACACATGCACATGTACATGCACACACACGTGTTCTCTCTCTCTCTCTCTCTCTCTCTCTCTCTCTCTCTCCCTCCCTCCCTCCCTCCCTCCCTCCCTCCCTCCCCTCCACACAATTAAAAGTTCTAAAATAAAATCTTTTAAAAAAAAAAACTGTATGCCAGAAAATTAAGTCTTTATTAGCACTTAATTTACTATAGGGTTTTTATAGATTTGAATTTTATTACTATTTTATTCAAGTATATTTTCTCCTATAGTAGCTATAATACTTTAATGCATCAGATACAATGTATTAAATAACTCTTGTTTTCCATATAGCCTTCTTAGACTGAACTTTATAGCACTCTGAGTATTGTATTTTAAAAAGTATTTTACAATTTTTTTTTTCTTTTCTCCTCAGGCACTACCAGGGCCCCCAGGGATGGAGAAGTCCCAGGGGTGGACTATAATTTCATTTCTGTTGAACAATTCAAGGCACTGGAAGAAAGCGGAGCATTGTTAGAAAGTGGAACATATGATGGTATGTCCCCAAATACTAAATCTACCTCCAGATAACCAGAATCATTTCAGAGAGAATTTCATCAGTAAATACAATTAAAAAAAAAATTATTTGGGAGGACTAGGGAGATGGTTTAACAGTTAAGAGCACTGGCTGCTCCTCTAAAAGACTTGATTTTGATTTCCAGTATCTACATGACAGGTAGCAATGGTCTTAAACTCCAGTTGCAGGGGATCCAGTGCCCTCTTCAGGCCTCTGTGGGCACTTCACACATATGGTACACAGATATACATGAGGCAAAATAACTGCGTGCATAAAATAAAAATGAATCTTAAATCATTATTTGAAAATGTGATTTTCACTGGGCAGTGGTGGCACACGCCTTTGATCCCAGCACTTGGGAGGCAGAGGCAGGTGGATTTCTGAGTTCGAGACCAGCTTGGTCTACAGAGTGAGTTCCAGGACAGCCAGGGCTACACAGAGAAACCCTGTCTCGAAGAAAAAAAAAAAAAAGTGATTTTATTTTGATTAGGAAATTCCCAACTACCAATTAGATGGAATTAGACAATAACCAAAAGCATTATATCACATTAAAAAGTTCATTGTGAACAATAAACTAAAAATTAACCAAGCTGGCAAGTTTACACATTTCAAAGCAATTCACCATCATCATCTAAACCCAACAAGTGCTTGATGATGGATTTCTCTGTCCATGGCTAGAAGTCTAAAGTCCATAAACTTTGAAAAGCTTGTGTGTACCTTAAAATCTTGCAGAAAAGAAAGTTTAGATTGAGGGTTAGCGTCAATAATTGATTTTCATATCTCTGTTTCTTGTACCCATTTATTTCCCTGAAGTATAAACTTGAGGTCAGTTTCAACTCTTAAATGATTCCATGTTGTGTTAGTTCTCACACTTTTCCCTTGGCAAGCTTATCCACTCCCATAGCACCTTATACTTTTTCATCCTGTTTGTTTTGCTTTTATAAGGATGCCTCTCACAACTTCTATGTAGTAATGATAATGCCTTTCTTATTTGATGCTGTCTTCAGCATATAGAGATGTTCAGTAAATACCCATGAATGCACCTCATTCGCATCCATGCTTGTGCATATGTGTGCACATATTTGTTTCACTTTAGTTACCACATGTGGTCATTTCGTCCTGGTATCCATTTCTACGGTTTTCTTCTTACTGCTGCATTGTAGGTCCTTTATTGAGTTTGTTATAACATCGTAGGTCCTTTATTGATTTCATCATACTATTGCAGTTTGTCTCCTCCTCCCTCACTTCCCTCTAGTGTCTTGCCTTTGTTAGTTCCATCCTGCCCCTTGCTACAATGCTGGGCTTCCTCAGGCTCCACTCTGATACTTCTGATCACATCCCTTTCTTATTCAGAAAGTTAAGTCATTTCCTTCCTTCCTGTAAACTTTGACCTATTTTTTTCTGGCCTCAGCTCACATGAATCATCCATTCATTTAAAAATTGATTTTGTCATGTTTTATTTATTCAGCAACCACTTGACAAGTCCATATGTGCCAAGTCTTGTAAGAGACTCAGGAATACTGTGGTGAACAAGATCAGAATGCTATTGCTTTAATAAATTCTGTATTTTAGTAGGGAAGGCAGTGAAAATTAAATTAAATATAAATTGAGATACTACAAAGGAAACAAAACAAGAAATTCAAAGATAAACAATAGGAATATCAATCTTGCCAAGTAAAGACATGTCAGAGGAATGAACAAGATAATTTGTTTTCACTTTTTTTCACATAAAATTTTTATGGGACCATCTATGGAAATTTCACATCATGCACTCCAATCACACTCATTTCCTAGTCTATCCATGTGTGCCTCTCCACCCTGGGACAACCCCCCAAACGTAACAATTAAACTAAGAATAAATGTAAAATCCAAAGTCCAGTAAAGATCTGACTTTCTTGATGAATTTTATGTCATCCTTGCATGGGGCCATGCTAATCTCTATGCAGCACCAACTTTAGTCTGTGTGCTGCCGAAGCCAGCACTTGTTCTTATACTTAACCTTTCTTATCTATGTAATACTCATGCTTTGTTTATACGTGTTCTTACAGACATGTTTACTGTATCTTTTGCACATACTTATTATTTATGTGCTCTGTGTTCTTTGTCTCATTTCGTCCTTTATTGTTTTTACATATTACTGCAGCTTTTAGATTACTCCTTGTTATTACTGTCCTACATTTATCTGAATTCATTACATTTGATTCTTACGGTATGCCATAGTTTGAGTATTACATTTTATTTCATCATTCTTTTAGTGTTAGACCAAAAGTTTTGGCTTGTAGAGTGTATTTACTCAGCCTGATGAAGTAGTGATGAAGTAGTTTTGAATGGTTGTCTGTTTTCATTCCTCACAACAGAACACAGGGGTTCTTTCTTTTTTTTTTTTTTAAGTTGTATGTATTTTATTTATATGAGTACACTGTAGCTATGTTCAGACACACCAGAAGAGGGCATCAGATCCCATTACTAAATAGGTTTTGTGGTTCATAATACTTTTTTAAAAATAGTTTTCTTCTTTAAGAAAGGCCTTCCTAGGGCATACAGGCATATATATGTAGATATAGCACTCATGTATAAAATATAAAATGAATAAAATCTTTAAGGGGGGGGGAAGGTAGAGAGATGGCTCAGTGGTTAAGAGTACTGACTGCTCTTCAAGAGGTCCTGAGTGCAATTCCCAGCAATCATATGGTGGCTCACAACCATCTGTACTCTGCATTTTCTCCTTAACTTTTCCTTAAGAACATGTTAATTTTTCTGCAGTTAGTTAACTGAGAATTTTCAGTAAAATGTATGTCTGTTTATACTATCATTCCCTAAAACACATGTACTCATTTCTATTTTGGTTGATCCAAAATCCTTGATAGTGTGATATTGAGCTTTAAAACGGAAAAATAGCTGGATATGGTACTGCCCAGAAGAGGCACTGGCAGGTAAATCTCTGTGGTTTGAGAATAGCCTGGGTATACATTGTGAGTTCCAGCACAGCCAGGGTTACATAGTGAAGTCCTGTCTATAAAATAAGATAGAATGGGAAAAAAATGAGATTATGGTGCATCTTTTCCCCCAACCAAACCTCTACTTGCAGTATTAAGTATTTTGCTCAGAAAATAATGAACTAGCTTTTCCCTTGCATCTTCATATAAAGGTCAGAAAATTGACAGAAAATCTAATCTGTTTTAATACAAATCTTTGTACCCATCTATATGGCATAACCCACTTCAAATATGTGTTTGAAAATGAAGAAATAATTAATTTTGATTTTTTAAATATTGATGATTGTACTTATAGTCAAACTTACACAGATATCACTGTAATATTTTCTCCCCCTAACATATGGATTTAGGGTACACTATTTATTTCTAGATTTGTCTTAGTGTTATGTAGCCTAACATGATTTTTTTTTCTATTTAGGGAAAAGCAACCAATGTTTTTTTTAATTTCCATTATGTCAATCTGCATCTTAATTGCCTTTTTAAAAGCTGAACAGTTTGATTAAAAGTGTGACATTTTATAAGCACAATAATAAAAGGCAAAAATGTCTTTTCTTAAATCATATTTAACTTTTTAATAACAGTAACATAATGATTGATATAAAGTCAAAAGGAGTGGGAACAATGACTGCTAAGAGAGCTAGACTTGCTGAACACTTTCCCATGGTGTCTGCCTGCTCAGTGGGCGCTGCATGACAAACTGAAGGTTATTGCATTTGTTTTTATTTTTACCTTGACCAAGTAATGGTACTGGAAAAATCAAAGATTCTCAGAAAACTACATTAAACTATCTCTTACTTTTCTGAGTGTATATTAGTATAGAACTTGATATATACTGGCTCTTCAATAAATTGTCAGGTAATATAATTCAAGTATGCAGAAGCTTTTTAAAATTGCACAGCAGCTTATATTCCTATATGAAATAGTTCTTAGCCTTTGTATATATTCTCATTTTAGTAAAATAATTCATTTTATACATTAGAACAAAATTAGTTAATTTTATATAATCTTATATAATAGTGTCTTCCACTATTGCATAAGAGAATTGATGCTTTTATATTTCCGAAGTCAGCCCTAATTCAGAACCTGTATAAAACAAAATTAAAATATAAACAGTATTATTATGTTAGCTAATACATGACAAGAGATGAGAAATCTGTCCATACAGAATGCTTTGGGCTTTTAGTCAATGGCAGAGGCATTCTGTAAGCCATATTCACATAACTTGGTCAGCATTCCTGCTTTCAGCTGCCATCATTTTGTACACCACAGGAAATTTCTATGGCACACCCAAGCCTCCAGCAGAGCCTAGTCCTTTCCAGCCCGATCCAGTTGATCAGGTCCTCTTTGACAATGAGTTTGACACGGAATCCCAAAGAAAACGAACTACATCTGTCAGCAAAATGGAAAGGATGGACAGCTCTCTCCCTGAAGAAGAGGAAGATGAGGACAAAGAAGCTGTTAATGGCAGTGGAAGCATGGGTTTGTAAACATATTAACAACTTCTGATTGGTTTTAGATTGGCTTTAATCTTGAAATACTAAAATTTTTCTTGAACTATATGTAGAGCAGGTGATAGGATTCTAATTCTCTATGAAAGCTGTGTGTAGAACTATGTATATTTCTGTGGATCATCTTGTAAGGTAACATGAGTTAGTAGTAGTGACCTGTCATTAATGATGTGGCATTACCTTGTTGTCTGAAGTACTTGTGATGTTGGGATATGGGAATCTTACTGGCATAGTTCTACTTCCCAGGATTAAAACAAAATTGGTTTTGTAATACAGCCTTCAACCCAAAGCACATAGACTTTGGAGCTATGTCAGAAGAAATTAACTGAAAAATTCATTAGCAATATTTTTAATTTAAATTCTGGATATATTCAAAGATAAATTTCAAATAAGATTGATATTTTTTGTATCTTTTGTTTAACTTCCATATTTCTCACTGAATGAAAATAGAAATATAAGGGTGAAGAATCTGCTCTGGATGTCCCTGAATAATTTTGTAATTTTCCAGGAGATCCTTACATTTAATTGAGAGAGAACTGGGAAACCAGACCTCACAAAGATGAACATTAGTGTTATTATTGTAGCCATTCTCTTTGGAATGCTAGTATGTGAACTCTATGAAGACTGGAATTTTGGGGGATTTATATTTTCATTACTGTGTCTACTGCACCAGGAACAGTACCTGGCTTATAGAAGGAAATAAATGTTGATCCTGTCCCTAGATTTGCAGCCCATCTTTATATGATCCTGAAACATCTTCAATTTTCTTCATCATCTATTAAGATTTTCCTTGTATATACTTGTTGCCTTATATGATCATTGTTTATTTCCCCCTACAGACAGTGAGATCTGGCTATTGTTCTAACTTCTCAACACTTATGTTTAATGTTAAATGAGTTAGCCAATGTATTTAGGTGTCACGATGAAAATTGTGTTCTAAGAGGTTTAGTCATTTGGAATTACATCCAGAAAGTATTATAGATCATTTAGTTGGTATTGCTTTTGTCTGGCATACTTAATTTCCCCAGATGTAACTCACCTTCAGATTGACTACTACATTGGATATCTTTAAATCTTTATTACATATTCTGCAAGGAAAATAAGCTAGGAATTTCATTCATTTGTTCATTAACAAATAGTTATTGAACATCTGCTAGGCTACTGAGTGCTAGCCATTTGTTCTAAATGCTAGGAATAAGATAGTGAACAAAACAGACAAAAACTTCTGTTCTCAGAGTTTACTTTCTGATAAGAGAGTCATAACTGGATAAATAAGTTATATAGTGTGTCTGATGATACTGGCAAGGCATGTAGGAGGTAGAAATTAGAGGTGCCCAACTTGCAGTTTTAGATAAACTGTCAGAAAAGACTTAAAACAAATGAGTAAAGTCCAGCTATCCAAGAGAAGAACATTCCTAAGAGGCGACTGTAAATTTAAATTCCTGAGATGGTAGTATGCTTGGAATATTTAGACAACAGCAAATGGTTTGAGCAGAATGATGAAAGGTAAAAGAATGCAACAGTGACAGGTGAGGTCAGGCAGTAATGACAGGGAGGAGAGTACATGTTGCAAAGTTCTAGAGGCCAGAGTAAGGATTCAGGGGCTTACTTTGAGGTGTGAGGTCACAGTTGCACTTTGAGAAGACTATGTAGCAGGTTTAGTGGGCTCATTCTGACTCCTCTGTTGAGATAGGCAATTGAAGGCCTGGGCATGGCTAGGGATAGCAGTCAGGAAGCCACTGCATATAGAAGGAAGAAAGCAACCAATTATGTCAGATGCCGTTGATAGTTCAAATGAGATGTGCACTGAGAATAGGTCATTGGATTTGATTATGTGTAGATCATTGGTGATCTTGGTAAGTATAGTTTCATTAATGAAAGTTCAGAAGCCTTGATAGAGTGAGATCCATAGAGAAATGGAGGAGTGGAAATAGAGGTAGCAAATCTAAACTGTCTGAAGGTGGTTTGGCATAGAGTGGAAAACTTGAGAGCCTTGTCAGGGGAGAAAGATAACTTTATTTTCAAAGAATGGAGAAGTTACATGTTTTTATGTGGAGAGATAGCATCTAATAGATAGGGAAGATTGGTGGTGTAGAGAGGAGAGTGAAGATAGGAAAGGGTCAGGTGTTGTTAATAGTTGGAGGGTTAGCCTTGGGAAGGAACATAGACTTTCTTCAGTAGTAATAAGTAGTGGTAGGTAAATGGGCTCTGCCAATTGAATGATAGGAGTTTTTATAGTTCTTTTGTACTTGTACTTGGTTTTGTTTTATCCATGAAATAATCAACAAGGTCATCATAAGATATAGGATAAGAGCCAGGCGGTGGTGGCGCAGCCTTTAATCCCAGCACTTGGGAGGCAGAGGCAGGTGGATTTCTGAGTTCAAGAGTTCGAGGCTAGCCTGGTCTACAGAGTGAGTTCCAGGACAGCCAGGGCTATACAGAGAAACCCTGTCTCGAAAAACCATAAAAAAAATATATATATATAGGAAAAGAAAAAAAGTAGTTCAGTAGCCTCTATTTCTCTTTCTCCATTTCTCTTACCCACAGTCAAAAGTGGCCTAAAAATATTAGTGAACAGCACAATATATTGAGGTGGGGAAGAAGGGGGGGAGGAAGAGGGAGAGGGAGGGAGGGAGGATACATTTACATAACTTCTTGAACAGAATATTGTTATTATAACTGTCCTATTTTTGTTATTGCTGTTGATTTCTCAGTAAGTAGCAAGATTAACAAATTGTGTAACTAAATTTATTCAAGGGATGACTATATCAGAGGCTTTTCCTTAGATTCTTTTTTTTTTTTTTTTAATTTTTTTTTTTAATTTTTTTTATTGGATGTTTTATTTACATTTCATATGTTGTCCCCTTACCCCATCCCCCACCCACCCAGGAACCCCCAATCCCCTCACACCTCCTCCTTCTTCTTTGTGGATGTAACCTCTATCTACCCCCCCACTCCCACCTCCCCACCCTCAAAACTCCCACCCCCTGGGGCGTCCAGCCTTCATGAGGTCAAGGATCTCATCTTCCACCTGTGCCCAGCAGGGCCCTCCACTCTTATATATTCAGCTAAGGCCCTGGATCCCTCCATAAGTGCTCCCAGGCTGGTGGTTTAGACCCTGGGAGCTGTGGTTGGTTGGTATTGTTGCTCTCCTCATGGGGCCACAAATCCTTTCAGCTCCTTCAGTCTTCACTCTAACTCCTCCATTGAGAACCCCATGATCACTTCAATGGCTAGTTGTGAGCATCTGCCTCTGAATATGTCAGACTCTTGAAGACCTCTGAGGAGACATCCATATCAGGCTCTTATCAGCATGCACTTCCTGACTTCCACATCAGCATCTACCTTTGGTGACTGCACATGGGATGGATACTCAGGTGGAAAGGTCTTCAGACGGCCCCTCCTTCAGTTTTTGTCCCTCGCTTTGTCTCCATATTTGCTCCCTTGAGTATTTTGTTGCTCCTTCTAAGAAGGACCGAATCACCCCCACTTGGTCTTCCTTCTTTATGGACTTCATGTGGCCTGTGAGTTGCATCTTGGGCATTTTAAGGTTCTGGGCTAATATCCAATAATCAGTGAGTGAATACCATGTGTGTTCTTTTGTGATTGGCTTACCTCACTCAGTATGATAATTTCTAGTTCCATCCATTTACCTAGGAACCTCTCAAATTCATTGTTTTTAATAGCTGAGTAATACTCCATTGTGTAAATATACCACATTTTTTTAATCCATTCCTCAGTTGAAGGACATCTGGGTTCTTTCCAGCTCCTGGCTATTATAAATAAGGCTGCTATGAACATAGTTGAGCATATGTCCTTATTATATGTTCGAGCACCTTCTGGGTATATGCCTAGGAGTGGTATAGCTGGATCCTCGGGTAATGCTATGTCCAATTTTCTGAGGAACCGCCACACTGATTTCCAAAGTGGTTGCACCATCTTGCAGTCCCACCAACAATGGAGGAGTGTTCCTCTTTCTCCACACCCTCGCCAGCATCTACTATCACCTGAGTTTTTAATCTTAGCCATTCTGACTGGTGTGAGATGGAATCTCAGGGTTGTTTTGATTTGCATTTCCCTGACGACTAAGGATGCCGAGCATTTCTTTAGGTGCTTCTCGGCCATTCGAGTTCCTTCTGTTGAAAATTCTTTGTTAAGCTCTATACCCCATTTTTTAATAGGGTAATTTGGTTGCCTGGAGTCTAATTTCTTGAGTTCTTTGTATATATTGGATATTAGCCCTCTATCAGATGAAGGATTGGTAAAGATCTTTTCCCAATTTGTTGGTTGTCGTTTTGTCCTATTGACAGTGTCCTTTGCCTTACAGAAACTTTGCAATTTTATGAAGTCCCATTTGTCAATTCTCGATCTTAGAGCATATGCCATTGGAGTTCTGTTCAGGAACTTTTCCCCTGTGCCCAAGTATTCGAGGCTTTTCCCCACCTTCTCTTCTATTAGTTTCAGTGTATCTGGTTTTATGTGGAGGTCCTTTATCCACTTAGATTTGAGCTTTGTACAAGGGGATAAGAATGGATCAATTTTCATTCTTCTACATGTTGTCCTCCAGTTGAACCAGCACCATTTGTTGAAAATGCTGTCCTTTTTCCACTGGACAGTTTTAGCTCCTTTGTCAAAGATCAAGTGACCATAGGAGTGTGGGTTCATTTCTGGGTCTTCAATTCTATTCCATTGATCTTCCTGCCTGTCTCTGTACCAATACCAGGTAGTTTTTATCACTATTGCTCTGTAGTACAGCTTGAGGTCAGGGATGGTAATTCCTCCAGAAGTTCTTTTATTGTTGAGAATAGTTTTCGCTATCCTGGGTTTTTTGTTATTCCATATGAATTTGAGAATTTCCTTTTCTAACTCTGTGAAGAATTGAGTTGGGATTTTAATGGGGATTGCATTGAATCTGTAGATTGCTTTTGGCAAGATGGCCATTTTTATTATATTAATCCTGCCAATCCATGA